GGACAGTGGGACGCGCATGGGGTCTTTCACCCCGTGTGGTCACCTGGATTTACACTACAATAATAAGACCTATGTTAACGTACGGAGCCATTGCATGGGGACCGAAAGTTCTACAAGCAACGGCCATCCAAAAATTGTATCAAATACAGCGATTGGCTTTTTTAAACATGACAGGAGCCATGAGAACAACACCAACCGAAGCAATGGAATTAATTACTGGTCAGACTCCTCTGGACCTGTACGTTAAGGAGGTTGCGTGAATGGCCATATTACGATTGCGCACGGCTGGTGTAAACCTGGAAGTAGGAATGAGTCAATTGAGTCTGAGCCTATGGCGAGAAGCGCTTACTGCGCAACCTCTTGCTGCAGACAGCCAGTGATGCAATGGAGAATGTTCCTCAATTTGGGTTATTACAGCAAATGCAAGTTTGAACATATTGGCAACAGCGCCATATCAAGTTGAAATAATTTATATGTACCTAGATATTCTACTTTAAAAAAAGAAAATTGTCTTTATAAATCAACAATTGAGGCAAAATATAAATTGTAGTTCAATACCACCTCCACAAGCCACATTAAACAACAGTTGTTTTGTTATTTATTTATATAGAGGAAGATAGGTTACGTGCACAAAATATCATATGTCACAGAATGTTTCGGAACTCGGAACATAAATGAACAGAACAGCGCGCCTCTGAAATATGTCATCTTTGTTTGTCTCATACAGGTAACAGATTCATTGTCCTTTATTAGCTATAACCGATGTTGCCAAATTGTGAAATAGAAACGAATCCCTTTAAATGTTGAATACATTATTTCATTCCTCTTTTTTGAGTATTTGGATAATTATTTAAAGAAAAAAGTTGAAATGCGTTGTTTTAGAGCTCTTCAATGAAAACTACTTGATTTTCGTCAGGAGGAACATTCCCCATTGAACCCAAGTGTGTGTTCAATAAACCCATCAAGATACAAATAAAACAGAACACAGAGTAAGATACTACAAATGCAATACGCATATATAAAGACGGCTCAAAAACCAAAGAAGGCTCAGGATGTGAAGTTTACTTCAGAGCACTAAGACTAAGAATTAGGTGGGGAATGGGAAAAAATACCAGAGTGGTTCAAACACAACTTGCTGGTATCTCAATCACCACAAAAGAAATAACAAGGAAAGGAATTTCTGGCAAGAACGTAACAATCTGCACTAATTGTAGACGAGCTCTATTAGCCTTGAACAGACAACGTGTTACCTCAGGTGTCACATAGATTTAGCTAAAGCCCCATCTCGAAATATTTCCGTGATTGCAATCACCAAAATTTTAATGTTGGAATAAATTCCGTTTCAAAAAATATTTCACTTGTCATCTTCACTTCAACTTCATCAACAAATCTTTATACTCGCACCTCCAGGTATTTTTCAAGACAAAATTGTTTGTATACTGTTTGAAGATACATAATGACGCATGAAGCAAATAACACTCATACGGAAAATATGGAAAAAAAAAATGCAAATACGAACATCCGACCAATTTGTTTTTTACTTCGTTACTTCCAGGACGGTTTTTTGTCGGATATATTTTGCTTCGTCCAATTATCGAAGTAGAACCTTCAATTGCCCCTATTAATGTTTTCACAACGAAGTAATATATAAATTCCAGAAGTTGTGATTAGGGGATGTGTCTGAATAATACTTTTTTCTTCGTCGTCACTCATTAAGTTCCCAGAATTTCCTTTCAAGGAAATTCTGGGAAGATTACGTATATTCTTGGTTTCAGTATTCACTCTAATATGAAATGGTGTATTATTACATAAAAATAGCGTATAGGCATACTAAAACTTGAAATTGATGTATTGATTCACATTGAGAAACTACAACCCTATTACGAAGAAATGTAAGAAGCGAGTGAGGTACTAACACCATTTTATTGAATAAGACAATTCTTTTGGTGTGTTATATCTTCCCATCTATTCAGTTCTACTGAAGTCTTGAGACAGTTTGACATATTATAATAACTTATTAGTACATATATAACCTACCAAGTAGGATAAGAAGCCAATTACCCACGAGCGAAAAATTGTAAGCACGAGGCGTTAGCCGAGTGCGATAATTCGCGAGTGGACGTAATTGGCCTTATCCTCGAGGTGCGTACTATACTTTTTCTACGACTGACCATAGGAATGGTACAATATATTCATTTGAGATTATGGCTTTGGATAATGAACTCATTCAGGCAATCAGAACTCAATTAAATGATTTAAAAAATTGATGACAACATTTCCTACAAATTATTTCATTTTCGTTATATTGAGTACATTCATATTTACATTATTAAAATCATTTAATGATTTTCTGTCGTCGATGTGGAAGAAAGACGGTCTTGAATTGAAGGGGTTATATTTTTAGGAGTGATTAATTTTTTGGGAAAGAAAGTTTTTGGCTTTCTACTACTCCATCTGATACAAAAAAAGGGATGAGAGAATCTTGCAAAGAAAGGAAGGAAGTAATCAATTTGAAACTCTATACATGAATGTGTAGATCATGCAAAGAAGTAACTTTCAGATACAAACTGAAAGACGGTCTTATTCCGTTACGTTGGGAATTTGAAACAGTGGGAATACAAATATTTTCAATACTATTTCTGAGTATATTTTACCACTATCCTCCAAAAAATAATTTCAATATATACGAGTAATCATATCATTTACGTAAAAGAAGCTTGCAGTAGCGGGATTTGAACTCTAGTTATGGGAAAAGTATATGCATTATACACACACTTTATAGTTCAAGTAAACGATATAGTGAGTTTGTTTTTGACTATTTTACGTACAGTTGAGAAAAGAATTTCGGTCAAATCTGATGTTGCTTGTAATAGTTTTTTTCCCTCGAAACCAAACTTGATATGTAGATTCTTACATACATTGAAACATACTCTCTGTGTTTCAATATTCAACTGCATTCGAATCTTATTCACTGGTATCTCTTTTTCGCATTGTTCATCAGCGCTATTGGAATCACTACACAGGAAAAGTCTGCGTTGTTATCACACTCGTTATTACTATTAGTACTTGTCCAAGGACGCCACATTTTAAACAAATAACAAAAATTTTAAGTAATTATAACTTCACCAACATCGAATTTCAACACTCAAATTGCGATCAGTTCCTGAACTGAACATTGACAACACGACTCTTCTCACCATCCTCACATTATATTGGTCACCGTAACATGACTTCCAATTCAATTTTATGACTCTTCAGCCAATCATAAAACTCGGTTAGTAAAAATTATCCAATACGAAGCGCCAATTCTTCAGTCCACGTGGACTAATTCGTAGCGCCATTATTTCTTTGTATTGGTTTTTTTGGCCTTTGAGTTCGCCGAAGCTTGAAGAATTACTATATCGGTTACTTCGACTATACCACTTAGTGGTGTCTGATTATGATTGAAACAAGAGGTTGTTGATTCACATTCATAACTAGATCAATTACCAACCCACACGCTGTTGAACAATAAATTTACTGGAAATATGATTGGTATTTCGATTTCACAGAGAATTTAGAGAAAAAATTCGCTGCTTTTTGGACAATTGAATGTATTCATGAGATTATATTTATCAGAGTAAATGTTAATAAACTCATGGATGTAGCCGTTACTACGTGTTAGGAAATCATAATGGAGAAAAGAGAATTGAAACTTTATATGTTTTTTACCACAGTTTTTATTGCAGTTTCGTCCTATAAGGACATTTTCAAAGTTATACATTAAACTCAATGTATAAGTTTGAAAATGTCCTTATATGACGAAACTGCAGTAACGTTGGTTACAAATAAATTAAAAAAACATAGTAAATGTTAAATAACTCATCTTTTTTTTAATTTCTAACGGAAGTGGCCGCCATCAATTCAGAATACTCGTGTATTCTAAATGAGCCATTACTTACTTGCTGTAGGGAGTAGAAAAAATAACTTTATAATTCAGTACAAAAAAATATGATGCCTATATTTTTCTTCTAGGCAACGCACACTCACGAAATTTAAATTGAATGATGAATTAATCAATGTGAAACTGTACCATAATTTTAACAAAAATATCAATCACGAAATAACTCTTCTCTGATGTTTTGGCTCGGTTGCCACTGATCACCGTACAGTAACCAGGGTCTTTTTTGGTGAGTTTTTGCCTTCAGGAAGTGCCCGGATGGCTCATCGGTGTCCAACTATTGTCCTGAACGTCTCTTGTTGTCGTAGAGGATCCGCTTCTCATCACACGTGACGATACGACCCAAAAAAGCATCGTTTTGGTTACGCAAAAGAGCGTATCTCGAAACGTGACAATTCCTGTCGATCGTTCAAATCGTGGGACACCCACTTTTTGAGCTTTTTGGCCTTTTCAATACTTTTTAAACCATCGAAAGCTGCATGAGGGCTGACTCCCAGTTCTTCCGGCATCCCACGCACTGTTTGTGATGGAAAATGTCATTGAATGATAAATATCATCCAATGAGAAAAAATCTCAGACCCAATATGAATTTAACAAGTACGTTTTCCCTTCTGATTGAAATTTTAATTGTTGTTACGGGCATTTTCCTGGCTCAAAAGGAGTTATTATATAATGTGTAAGAGTTTTATATGTTGTTACTCTGACGGGTGACACCGTAAAAAATGTTATAGTGCTCTACCGAAAACCAGTATTTGAGGTAGGGTAGAGCACTGGTTAGCTCAGTGGAAACGGGTGGTTCGTATTTCCTAAGTAGTTCAATTAATCCAACCTTTTTCTTTGGAGAGAGAGAGAACGTCTTTATTACGTGACTTTACAAAACTCACTAATTACCAATCCGCTGGAGCCGACGGATATTCTGGTCAGCTTCGATGTGGTGTCTTCGTTTACAAATATTCACAAATAACTTGGCTGGTGACGAAGTTGGGTGTCAGAAAAAAAAGTCAATAGATAATCAAAGAAATAATGGTGGTACTCATCCGATTCTTTAGCTTTTCTCCCTTTTTGGCTGCAACCTGGGAAGTTGAAACTGCCCTCCCCCAACTTCCAGGAATTACCGGAACTGTCAGGCTTTCGAATTTCAGAAATTCCTTTATTACGTTATCCAACAGCATAAAACGAAAAAGACCTAGAGGATAAAGAGAATACTATGCCTCTAGAATACTTTATCAACTATAATATCCATACCTTTGATGAAGGGTGGCCTTAGAGTATGATTTCAACTTTGTACCCCCTTTAAAAGAGGTAATAACAACTAAGATCACAACACTAGTTGTTGAAAATGGAACATGGCAATTCATTCCCTGATCGTGGGTAATAGTAATGAAAAATAATCCAGAACTCGTATTTCCACACTCACTAAATAAACACACTGTGCTCCTGCCTGAAATCTTTTACTACTGATTCAAATTACGAGACATCGAGAAACGTACCTAGTTGCGAACTTTGCAGAACAATGACCTTGATATAATTTATCGAATATGCGAAACAGACAGACAATCACTCTAAGAGAAATTATACAGTAACATCGTCAATTCAACTGAAAAACACAGTTTTTTTGGTAAATTGCCATTTAGTTTCGAAAGTAGAAGTAGAACAATGAGAAAAGGTGGGGCAAGACAGAAAAGAGGGCAGTCAAGTGCTGTACTCTGTTGGAAAACGATCGTAACTAGCTTGACGGAGAAGGGTAAGACTACAATCAAAGCGGCAGCCATCTTTAGTCACTCGTTTGTTGTCAGTGGATTAAAACGTATTTCTGTAGACCCTTATTATAAATATTTGGTGTTTTTAAAGTTGCCTACAGTAATAAGAGAAAGGAAATAGTACCACTATTTCTGATATAAAAACATTAAAGCTTACCCTGAGAACTGTACCGAGGTGCAAGAACCGATTGTTTGGTCTAAACACCAATGCCCGAAGAAAACTAGCTTATCAACTCGCAGGAAAAAAAAACAGAAAGCATATTTTCAATGACTCAAAGAAAGAGGTCGGGAAGGACTGGGTTAGAGCGTTTTAAATGAAATCCAACCTTGTTGATCAGAAAGCCTGAAGACACATCGATTGCTAACAAAGAAAATGTAGAACAGTTTCATTTATTTCTAGGAGAACTTTATGACAAACATAAATTAACATGTGACAGAATCTTCAATTGCGTCAGTTTCAGAAATACTGGCTACTAAAGGAAAAACAAGTTGGATCGTTTTCCTCTGCTGATAGAGGGAAAACATCCCACCCAAGACTAGTTGAAAGAAGGTGAGTATGCAGCTCGGGTACCCCAGTATCACCAGTCCCGGGGTACCAGTAGTGTACCTCTAGGGTACCTTAATATCGGATATGCTCCCCCTGCGGTGCCAAAATATTTAACTGATTTTTGGAAATTGATGGAGGGTTAGGGAACTGCTTCACCTCCGTCGCGGGTATTGCAGCAGCAGTAGTAGTAGTCGCAGTAGTAGTAGTCGCAGTAGTAGTAGTCGCAGTAGTAGTGGTAGCAGTAGTAGTAGTCGCAGTAGTAGTAGTCGCAGTAGTAGTAGTCGCAGTAGTAGTAGTAGTCGCAGTAGTAGTAGTCGCAGTAGTAGTAGTAGTGGTAGTGGTATTGGTAGTTTTTTTTTTTCGGCGAATGGAAAAATCTTCAAAAAACACCTGGTCGCCCTGTGACCAGATAGTGTCGGATTTTTACCGACTAAAACACCACTCATGAGTCAAACAGCAGACTGTAGTGATGGTTCAGGGCTCTTCCTTTTTCTTCAGTACTTCATTATTATTCATCTAGTTCTTTTCTTTGTCAGGATGGTCTTGGAGAGTTTACTAACGGCTTCCCAGTTTTCTATACTTTTAAGCATCTTTCCTATTATGTTTTCCGGTGTTAATTCTCCTGTCGTCTTTTCTGCGTTTCGTCTCTGTTTTTCCCAACGTATGCATTCAAAGATTGTATGTTCTACCGTATCTATCATTCCACAATACTTGCACTCTTCTGTATCACTCACTTTAAACCTAAACAGATACGCCTGAAAACACATATGCCCTGTTAGTACTTGTGTGAGAAAGTAATTCACTTCTCCCCATTTTCTGTTCATCTATGGTTCTATGTCTCTTATCAGTCTTCTTGTCCAGTTGGCCTTTCCATCGTCTATCTCCCAAGATTGTTGCCATTTTTCCATTATTTGTAACCTTGCTAACCCTTTTGATACGTTGTTTTGTATCATTGTTCTCTCTTCCGCCAGCAGATGTATTGGGGGGTTCTTGTAATCATCAGCAGAACGACAACTATCAGAAGTAGAAAATTATGCGAGATAACGATTAACAGGGCCTTGACTTTCAACGTGCGATTCATAGCACAGTCAATAGCCCTGAATCAACATTTGTTTTATCATGAACTTACCTTCTGTAAAGTCCAAAGGCAGGGCTACCTTTTTCAAAGAACAGTCGGTTCTAAGATCTATACCTTTTTGTGCAAATATCAGCACTTGAAATCCCATACAGATTCCCCAAAGGGGATAGTAGATATTCCGGTCATTGTTCTTCATAGCTAAGTGGTAAATTGTTTTTGCGGATTGCCCGTAACCGCCAGTTTCGTTGAAGTACGTTCCACCGCCAGGAAACAATATTCTGAAATGAATTGAAATGTGCATTTAAACCTTCCTATTCTTGAGATCAGAAATATTTTCAATATTTTTCAAACTTATTACATCAGTTTGGGACAGAATCATTTTTGGTAAAAAAACTTTTTTGGCTTTCTACTTCTCCATTAATACATAAAGAACGGAAACCTTCCATGAAAAGGAGAAAATATCAAAGAATACTATTTGAAAAATAGTCCACAGACTTTTCTTTTATATTTCATTCAATTTTACCAAGAAGTAAGTGGAGTTTGGTAGCAATACTGTTTCATGTTTTCAATCCTACCACGCGAGTATGCTATGATTTCAACATTCATAATGCATATTTGCATGTTGATCAGCAATAATAACTAAAATACAGGATGGAACTAAATAAGTGTAAAACACTTTTGGAGATGATTCCGCATCGAAAAAAGATAGGATCTTTCATACAATGAAATTTCATTGGAGCATCCCTTGTTAAGATACAACCCCTTAAAGGAGGTACATAAAATTTGTATAACAATTTTTTTCACAAGCACTAAAGAAGTTACGATATTGAAATTAACCTGACGTTTTGTACTACCAAAAAGACACTTAGCCAGAAATTTATTTGGTTTACCCCATGGTTGTAAGGGGTGGAAAACGCAACCCCTAAAATTTATTTCCAATGTAACTTTTTGTCT